ATCGAAGATACAGCAGGAAGTTTCTCAGCTCCAACAAAAAGCCAAGTACAGCATGCTCCTAAATAAAACACACCTTTGCATTTCTAATATCCAGATAAAATCACTACACAGAGCTATGGATTAAACAGCATAAAGCCTCTCCATTCTGTATTATTCACCAGAATGCAGGGGTAATTAAAGGGGAAAATGAACAGCACAGACAAGATCTCCAAACAACAGGACTCAAAATTATGAGCACAAGACAACAGTCCATGATCACATGCCCATGAAAGTGGCTTCACAGATTCAGTAGAGTAATGCTGATTCATACTGGCCAAAGATGCATCTCAATCTCTTATTTCTCTAAGATTTTTTTTGTAACAGACACCTCAAGCCAGTAAAACATTCTAATCCTAAAGGCTAAGCAGGGTGATACCTTTTCCAGGCAATTAAAAAACTTCTGATGCAAAACAAAGCCACCAGTGCCTCTTTCACAGAAGTCTCAAAGTCTCAGTGCTCACAGCATCCTTACTGGAAGCAAATCAGTGTTCCTGCCAGAGTGACCACTATTTAAACAAGGCCATTTGTTCTTCCTCTCCTCATGATGCTATCTTATCACAGCCCAAGTGTTTTATATCAGCACACTGAAATGATGTGTAATGAACAAGGATGTTCCAGATAAATTCTGAGAGTCACAAAGCAAATACTTCCTTTCTCTGTAAACAATATGACTGAACCCACTCCTTGAAGAAATCAAGCTATATTTATATTCACCCTCTTGAAATGCTACAGGCAGCCATAGAAGGATAAGTTTATAATAAATTGCTATATTTGGAAACCTTTGTTGCTAAGCATCTTCTAACATTCAGTACAGTTTATACCATTCATGTCCCTGCTACATAATTAACATTTCATATGTTTTGGTTTTTTTAAAAAAGAAGCACGGTGTTTATCTTTGCCAATAAATTAAAACCATTATAATTTTTTAGGGAATTAATAGAAGACCACGTGGCAAATTAAATAAAGGAGAGGCAACAAGATCTCAAGGGCATACAAACACTGACATTATATGCAAGGATATGGCAGTCTGTCTTCTATACACTCCTCTGCTTGAGATAAACCAATTCAGAAGGCAGCTGTTCACACTAAAAACCAGTCTAATAAATAATTTAGGATACAGTAGACCTCTCCCAACCTGAAGAATGAGACTTTCTCAGCTGCACACATAAACAAGCCATTTTCTTGTCAAGAATTCTCTGTGTGTGAATCCCTTGGATGGTACTCAAGTCCTCAGAAGTGTACCAAGAGGATCCCACTGGGAGGTGATGTCCATGGGATGTGGCCCAGTGCCCACCAAGGAATCTGCAGGTTTATCACATTTGGCTGTTAACTTCTGTGTAAATCACAAGGATCTTGGCTAGGCAGTAGAGAATCACAGCAAATCTTAATTTCTTCAGTGTAGCCATTACAGATATTGTAACCCTGGACATGTAGATATCCTATAAAAATCTATTTTGTGGTTTCATTTTTGTGAGAGGCTAGAGCTGTATCTTCACTGCAGGAAAAGGAGAAAAATCCACTAATATTTTAAAAATTCAGCAGATAAAAACACTCTTAGCTGATTATTATAAGCATCTCCATATAAAAGTTTCATAGATTTTGATCACAATACCCTATTTGGGAAAGTCCAGATCACACTGCACAGATTCTCCAGGTTCCTTGTCCTCTTTTCCTCTCCCTGTCCATCCCAGCATAGACCACACCACAATTCTGTACACACCATAGTCACAGGGGCCTAGAAGCATTCAACACAAAATGGACACTACAGGGCCCCAAAATTGCTTCAGAATTCCCAGGAAAATGCAGAGTTGCTGAAGAGAACAAACTTGCCTGTCTGACCCCAGCAGTACCACTAAGCAAATCCCGCACTGGAGAACAAACAACTTCTGCCAAAAAAAACACAGTTGGAATGTTTAATTCTACCATGGTTACTTACTTTCCATTAAAAAATGGTCTTCAGAACTATATAGAAGGCAAGCATCAAAGCTTTTATAATGAAGTATCTTAGGAAACCTGACTAGTGATGCAAAAGCCCTACGAATACAAGATTTACCATGTCACTAATTACTACACCCTTGGTTTATATAAGCAGTATATACACAATACATGTGTTAAAAAAACAGAGGTGAAGTAGAAAGATAAGGAAAGATGAGTCCTCTGGAAAATGATCTAAACTTTGTATTAAGAATATAAACATATTTAGCTTGCAAACTTGCAGTCTTTCCAGCCACGAACCCAAGGATATAAATGGGGTATGCAGGACCCGAGAATCTCCCACAGACCACAACAGAAATACAATCAGCAAGCAACAGCAATCCTGTGCCAAAAACCAAACATTCCTGAGTTCTGAAATCCTTTTTCTAAGCTAGTTTCCACATTTCACCTGTACTTATACACACATCAAGTCTGAATGTGGCACAAATAACCTTAATATTTGTGGAAGAATTCTTAGCTCGGATGTTGTCTCAATACCAAGCATTTTGGACATTTAGTAATGTGCATTAGTCGCCTTAACTATATGTTTATACCATGTTTTATGCTGTAATATATATATATATGAAATGCTATATTCAATTCTAAGGCCTACATCACCAAAAAGATTATTGACAAACTGGAGGCAGTTCAGAGAAAAATCAACACAGTTTCTCGGAAGGCAGGAAGGACTTACTTATGAGAAAAGATTAAAAGAGCTAAATATTTATAGTTTGGCTCAGTAATGAATGAGGAGGTAGGGGACATGAGAACAGCCTAGAGATATCTGAAGGGTGTAAACACTAAGGAGGGAGAGCAAACGTGTTATACAAGGATGTAAATAGAAATAATGGGATAAAACTAAACAAGGAAAGCTTAGGCTGAGTATCAGAGAGCATTCCTGGACAGCAAGCTAGTTCGGCCCACAGCACAGTTTCTGAAGTGAAGCAATAGGAGCCCATGTATCTTGGAACAACACAAAAAGCTAGACAAAACACTGGAAAATTTGCCATATGAAGGACTCTTGCTCTCCTGAGGAGAAACAGTAGATTATAAGAGTCTTTGCTAAATTCAACTCCAGCAAAAGCAGTAATCTTTTATAAGGCATTGAAAACTTAATATAAAAAGCAGATAAAGAGCTTAATTGGGGGAAAAATAAATACTCCAACTAAGAACGTTCCTTAGTGATGAGCAACTTAAGTTCAGTTTATGTAACAACTCGACTGACTCATGCTTCTGCAACTTCTTGAAGAGGAAAACTTCACGTGGGCTGCAAGGAGTTAAGAGCGCTGGACTGTATTTTCCCCAGCAGAGGTCACCCCACGGTAACAAACGGCAGGGAAATCCGACAGCATGGATTCCAACTTGAAGAAAGAAGAGCAGTAGGAAGGAGAGACATCCTCCTCCCCTCATTCACACCACTGGCTTTGGATGCAAAGATCCTGGGTAACACCGTGTCCCGCAATCAGCCACAAGTCGATGCCTGAAGTTTTTTTATCCATGTAATGTTCAACCGGCACAACATTCCAGATTTATTTTCTAAGTGGTCCTCATGAAGTGGGTAAATGTAATCTATTTACAGCTGGATTATAAATCCATCTGCACATGCGTAAGTAAAAGCCTCGGCTGGGTCATGTTTGGAAATGAAACCACAACACTTCTTACTGAGAACTTGAGATTGCATTAGTTAAGTGTTTGCTGTTTGAGTCCTGAGACACAGGCAGACTGACAGGCTTTCAAAAACACAGCGGAAGGAAAAGGGAGTTTATCTTTTTTTTTTAACAAATATATACAAGCAGGAAAAATAACGATGTTTTCTCACTTAAAACAGAGCTTCAAACACAACCAAAGCCGAGAAGAAAGCGCTAGAAAACGAATCATCTCATATGTTTTTATCTTCTTGATCCATGAAAACTCCACAAATTCATACTTGAGAACTATCCCTTAAAAATTCTGGAAGCTGGCAAGCAAAGACCTTGCTGTTCCAGGTGCCATCACCCCTAATAAACATCTGTCATCTTCACAGTCAGCTCTGATGCAAGAATTATCCGTGCTTTGTGCCACTGCCAGAGGAAGCTGTCCTGGTGCCAAAGGAAATAAAAGTAACCAGCACATGCAGCTAACTTATTTGTGAACTACAAGGCAGCAAATACATGTCAGCAGAGCTGGACAGTCGTATTTTGACTCAGCTGTTTTAAAGGGCTGCTCATGGGCAGGTTTAAGCTCCAACACTCAAACTGTGCAGACGCACTCCAGCAAAACCTGGGAACTGATAGAGCGTACTTGCAATATTTCATCCAATGAAAACAGAACTGAAATCATGCTGAAGTATTCCCTGGAACATACTGAACTCTGTCTGCATGATGCATGGGTAATTCTCCAGGGCTATGCCTGTTCACAAGGCCAGGAGCCACGTTCCAGCCCCCGGTACAGGCCGCGCTCTGCAGCTCTCTCAGCTCCGCTGCACAACCTGAGCCAGGTGCACACAGCGCCCTCGCCCCTGCCAGGAGCTTCTCATCTGCAGGAAAATGGAATCTGGGCACAATACATGGAAGGGAGACACAGGAAACACCACTGAGACCCACAGCCATCCTGGGAAGAAGGACCTGCAGGACAAGCTGTGCAGCCAGAGTGACTCAGGATTTTTGTGAGCAAGGGGTTATCTAGAGAATAGAAAAACTCTCAGGGATGTTGGTCAACTCCCAAAACCAGGGCTTTACTGAGAGAGAGCAAGCTAAGATCCTTGAAATGGCACAGGAGGTTCCCAAGGGTTATTGATCTAAACACTGCATTTTAAAAGTTATTAATATTGAAATAATTCTTTCCATCTGCCTGGGAAGAGACATGCTTGGCTGTGTTTTCTTTGACACAAAAATTAACAAGACCTCAGTTGTTTCAAAAGCTATTAGCATAGACTGTGGATTTTTTTTTTCTCTAATAAAGAGACTAACAGTAAAGTATTACCCTAAATAAGATAAACAAAGCCTTACCTGCTTCCTTGCACAAGGCTGCCAAGTCTGCACCCACATAACCATGTGCACTATCAGCCAGATGGGCCAACTGCTCTGCTGTGAGTGAATGGGGAACCTTCTTGAGAAGCTTCTGGAGTATGTCCAGACGGTCCTGGGCATTGGGAATTCCAATTTCTATTTCCTTATCGAAACGCCCTGGCCTGCGCAGTGCTGCATCCAGGGCATGAGGGCGATTGGTTGCCCCAAGGACCAACAGCTGCCCTTCACTGCCTTCCTGAAGGCATCAAGCAACAGAAAATATTACTTTAAAAATACAATTAAATGTCAAACAGATAATACAAGAGGCACTCCCACTTTAATCCCCAAGAATCTGCTTTCCTAAACTGGGAAAGAACAAGGAGAGAAAAAGAAAGGCTTAAGCTAAAATGCAGGGTTGGCACAAGAACAAAATGGTATCAGCAGACCTTGAATAAACAAGGTTGGGAAACAAATCAGTTCAGGTATCAAACCCAGCAGAGACAGGAGGTTATAAAGCTTCCTGCAGGCCTAGCAGGAAAAGCAAGGTCAAAAATCCTAATAAATTTCCTCAAGCTCTGCTTCTTCATTTTTACAATGAGGCAAGATCAGTTAGGAGGTCTCTTGCAATGCCATTCTCTTTTTGTGAATGAAGCAGTCTCCAGGAAGAATATCCATTAGCCCCTGCCACCAGAAAATAAGATCTGTCTGTGAACAATTCCAGGCTGGGCAACTCAAACTGCCATGCAGGAAAATAATGAGAAACCTGCAGATTACATAAACAGATGAAATTTATTTTCATACTCTGGACAGAGTTCATTCATCTTTCCTGCTAATAATCATAAAATAATAGATCAGAGATTGCCAAACTTTTTGGGCTCAAACCATAATTTACTCAAGTCAATTAAATTTACTGTTTCTTTATTAGGCTTTTGTTTATGCCCTACATACTGCTCTGGCAATCTTGAAATAGCTGCTGTTGCCTTTAATCATGCAGCCCACATATCACCAGAAGTATTCTGATGACCTTGATTTCAGAGCAATTAAAAATATCTGGTTTAGTTCAATGATGGGCTATCACTGAAATTTCAGTTTGATCTCCAAAACTACAAGGAGGGGGGAGAGAAGGCAAAAGAAAGGCAGTGAATGGAAAAAACCTACTTTCTTTTAAACTAAGTTTTCAGGAGACCGTCCTCTCCTATGTACTCTGCTTGCCATCCAAAAAAGCATTAGATTATTCTAAAAAGTCTCACCTAAATCTGTTTCCTTTCCCCACAAGTGATACATCTCATACTGGCTCCACTGTAGAAGCAGTATCATTTTGTTCAGTGAGTCCCCATGTACATTAATTGTCCCATTAGATTCAACTTACTGAGCCAATGCCATCCATTAATGTCAGGAGTGAAGCAACAACTCTCTTTTCCACTTCATTCTGAACCCCTTCTCTCTTTGGACAGAGTGCATCCAACTCATCTATAAATATAATTGAGGGGCGACTGAGGGGAAAAAAAATAAAGGAGAAATAATGTTACGGTGCTCAGGAAGATTTAAAACACTAAGGCAGAGGAAAGCTGCTCATGGAAAACGTCCAGTTCCTACAAAAATTAACAAGCATCCCACTCCTTTAGGTAACTCGAAGTTTCAATCTTGTATAGTGTTACTCAGAGAGAAAATGAAAATCAATAATATATTAGACAACTAATACTCTCAGTATGCAATAATCTTTTTCTAATGTACTATGAACACCAGTCACATGGAAGTCTAAAGTCTGCCTGAGCCAGGCCTAACAAATTTGGACAAGATGCCACCCTACTCCAGAAGAATGCTATATCCAGTACCAACACCAACTCATTTAGAGCTGGCCTCCAAAGATAAAAACTAGAGGAAAATCTGGATCCTGGTGCAACTCTGGCTCATGCTCCTGTCTGTTATGAAATAAGAACACAATGCACTAACCACACAGGTCAAGCAATTTGGCACCATCCCTAACAGCCTGTTAAAAAGGACAGTGTCCTAAAGGATTTAAGAGGCATCCTAAAATCTCACTGCTTTCCTTCTAGCTAAGCTCTACATTAAGAAATTTATTTCCTTTTAAAAAGCTGATAGATGAAAAAAAAAAAAAATCACAATTCAAAGCTTCTTGCAAATATTTTTCTATTAAGAACATTAAGGCTGGAACCGATACCACAAATAGAATTCCCCAAAGGAACGTACCAGAGAGAAGCCTCAGCGAATATCTGACGTAACCTTGACTCAGACTCACCATAAAACCTGTGAGAATGAAAAGATTTTAATAAAAAAAAAACTGTGTTTTTGTCTTTTCCAAGCAACTTGGAAAATTACTGCTCGTGACTTCACAAAAAGCTGTAGTGCACATATTCAAAGTCCTGAAGTGTATAATCTTTATTTCCACAAGGACCAGAAATTAAAGAAATGGGAGACAGGCAAAGTTAGAACCATTAGAAATAAAGGGAACTGCTTCTCTTCTGTGTTAGAAACAGTGTTATCTACATTTTTGAAGAACAACACAGAAATTACTCCTCTGGAGACATCAGTCTGTGCAGTGTGTCCTTAATTGCAAATACACTTTAACAAGTTTCTCTTCTTGTTGCAGAACTAACCTACAGGCAACAGCAGATGCAGATTTTAATCCCCTCTTTAATTCAGCCCGTGCCTTACACAAATTTCCTGGCCAAGTCCAATAAACCTCTTTTGATACAAGAAACACAAGCCCGACTTGATAGAACCCTTTCCTGCTTGTTTTGACTCTTTTGGGCAGGTAACCCACACCAAATACTACATCCCTCCACAATGCACAGATGCCAGGGAGTATTTTGGGCTACTGTATTTACAGAATTAATGAAAATCAAGTGGGTGGACTTACTTGCTTATGATTTCAGGGCCGTTAATGACGGTAACGTGAGCGCCAACCTCGTTTGCGATGGCCTTGGCAATCATGGTCTTCCCAGTTCCTGGAGGGCCATAGAGCAGCACTCCCCTAGGAGGAGGGATCCCTTGGGATAAGCATATGCAGGCAAACAGAGAAAAGAAGTTACTGGTGATAAATGCCAGGCCCAGCCTGCACGTGCACATTTCACTGTCCCTGTTATTACCAGTATTAACTTGACCTCAGCATTAATCCCCTCAGCAGACACGTCATTACGATGAATTAGGCTTTCAGGGAAAAGATCACTCTTAAATGGGACATTCATCCACATTTTTTATTTTTAACGTCCAGAAAACTCTCTTTAAAATCACCTATTTAAATCACTCTATTTTCAGTCATTCATTATAATCTTCACTGTTTTTTTTTTTTAAAAAAATTACTAGACTGAGTACCTAACGTCCGTGAATACACTTTAAGTTATTCATGATTCCTACAGTATCATTATGACAAATGTCACACATCAGAAAACCCCTCCTCTTCAACACTCCAGAAAGTCCTAGAAATACTGTGAGGCCTGATTTACAAATACTTACAAGATGATGAAAAAACACACATTAAAAAGATGAGTCTGCCTATTTAATGGCACATGATAAGAGCCAAAAACATTCAGGCACAGAACATAGGGGACTTTGGAAGAACAAGGTACTGCTGTGTACAGCTGAAGTTGGTCAGAAAACACAGGTAAACTGCAAGAAACGCTACCCTGAGCCCAGGTGAAGAGCCCACCAAAGAAAGTTTCCGACCAGCAAAGCCAAATTAAATGGGCACAAAAGCCAAAAACGGAAGTTGAAAAACTAGAAAGCAAAAAGCAGAGACAAATGTTGTACACAGGCCTGACCCCAGCACAAAAGACGCTGGTGAAACACAGCCAAAGAAACATCAGGTGGGACTGGGAATCAGACAGGGAATGATGCCTCAAAGGCAGGCCACAAGCCCAAATCTGAGAAACTAATACACTGGGAAAGAGAAAAACTTATCTGTCCTCTGACAAAGGATAAAAATAAAAGCATCTCTACAGACAGGTTCCTTCACTCCAGTCCATTCAAGCATGTGCTGCTCCCTCCTGTGGCGTTTCTGGCACTGGCAATACACAGGGCTGTGGAACCACAGGCTCACCTCAGCTCCAGCCTCACTGCTCGTGAGCAGACAAGGACCCCCAGCGTTTGTACGGGGGCTAAATGTTTGTAACTGCTGAGAAAACATCATCATCAATCATGCAATTAGTAGAGAATCAAGCTTTAGCGATTAAGTATGAAGAACACTCATGCTGAAGCAAACTGCTGCCACAAAACCACGTGGTGATGCTGGGGTTGGACCGCTCGTGGATGGAGACGCCTCACACTGCCCTACTGACACCTGTGGGTCATGACTAGGAAGGAGCCACCTGTGTACTATGGAAACCATCCCTGCTGAAATCATCTCCTCTCTGAAGTGTGCGTGGGGGAAGAGGTCATAGAGAGAAACAAAGGGCCTCCAAGACAAGATATTAAAGAAATATTTATAGGTAGAAGAGCCCTGTCTCACAGCAACGCACGCTTCAACAAGGTACACAGCCATTTGTGATAAATACACAGCACAGAGTCACAAAAATCCTCCAAGTTTTTTTATGTATGTGTGGCAACAGGAATCATATTTGGTTTTCCACCCTGTAACTCCACACTGAGCAGTTTGAGTAGAGCCTTAAAAGACCTCCTTAAAATTTTACAGGAACACACAGGGATAAAAAAAGCAGAATTAATCTGAGTTCTCCATTTAAAAGATACGATCAACTGAGTCTATCAACACCAAAATTGTGTGACAACACAAACGACTGCACCTTTCAAGTGTCCAGGTAGAGAAGCCTTTCCTGTTTGCTATAAATTCTCCTCATGCATGCCTGAATTTTGGTACAGACACACACTTCTTCCCTGCTCAACCGTTTTTCACAGAGGCTAACCAGAACATCTCCACAGTATCCATACAGTGTAATTATAAAGCAGTTTGACACTGATGGGACGCACAAGTTTACCAGATCAGTTACATAAAATTTGGTGCGTAATCCTGGAGTAATTAGTGCTTAAAGAAATGCAAAAAAAGCCACGTTAAAGAAGCAAGTTAGTGAAGAAAGCCAACTCTCAGGCATCATACCGTAACTCTTGAACAGTTCAGGTTGCTTCAAGGGAAGTTCAACAGTTTCTCTAATAGTTCTGAGCTGACTGCTTAAGCCTCCTATCATGTCATAGGTGACCCGGGACTCACAGTCGCCATCCTCTGCTACAGCGGTCCTTGGTTCAATAAAATTGATTTTAGTTCTTGAAGAAATGAAGTAAAAACAATCTGTATTGCTCATTGCTCCGATTCTGCCAGTTAGTGAGAGTCCCTCAGTGCTGCGCTCCCCAGCCAGCTCCAGATCTTGGGTGAGGTCTGCACCATCTCCCGCGCTGAAGGTTTTGTCTCTGTGCCCGGAGTCGGGAGTGCAGGGTGTGGCTGGTGAGCCTGGATCCACGGCTTTGCTCGGGGTGCTCGTGGAGGCAACCTCTGGGCTGTCACCAATGTCCATCCTGCCGAGCTGTAAGGACAGGTCTAAGGCACTGCTCTCCAAATCTGATCTCTCAAGGTCTGGCTCACTGCAGTCGCCGGGAATGGCACTGCCCTGGGCAATCAGCTCAGCACCGTCAGTCCCCTTCACTTTCATCACCACGATGTTGCAAAGCTTGCCGTAGTAAGTGAAAGCCAAGAGGTTTCCTGGCAGGACTATTTTCCCATCTATGAGAAGGTTAAAGAAGAAAAAAGACAAAGATGATGCTATTTCAATCTATTTTGGCACAAATTAACACTCAGACATTCTTGCATCAGAATAATTCTTTATAGGGAAGCTTAGAAAGTGCTATAAATTAACAGAAGTTAATTAGGAGGTGATTTCAGGTTCTTTCAATGATCCTTTTGTGCACAAGCAGGCTCTACTAGATAAGCAATTGTCAGTATCACATGTAATCTCCCATACTTAAACTCATCATTAATTTCAGCTTTTTAAACTTCATACAAAGGGTGGATTTTGGAATTAGTATTGTAAGAAGCTAAAGTTTTGTATTCACTACCTTGAATAACTTACCATGCTTTTTTAGTACACCTATCACCCAATGAAGAGCAACTTGACTTATTGACCACCAACATGAAAAAGGGAATTCAGAGATTGGGATTTCAAGTTAACGTTGATCCTTTAACGTGTTATTAATGCGCAGCAGTGCGCTCTTCCTCACTTCCTCACAGTGCAAGCAAACTCTGAAGTGCACCACAGTATCAGCCTGAAGGGATCAGGGACAGATCCCTGAACAAAGTAACATCCCTTATTTTGCCATAAGCCCTTGATTAAGAATGTAAAAGGAAACTGTTTGCTCTTGAATCCAGAATTACAAAAACTGAACAGTCAAAAGAGAAGCAGCAAAACTCATACCAAGGTTTCTCAGTAGACAGACAGACATTTCCTCAGCATTCACGGTGGCATCTTTGTCCCTGTGGTAGGAAGGAAAAAAATTGGTTTTTTCCAAGCACTTAAAAATAAAACCGCAGTCCACAGAACTTCACAGTCTTCATATCATATGGATTTTTAACCCTGAAGATATTAAACACATTGCAACAAAAGAAGCGTACCTATTTAATCTGGGGCTAGTTTTGCCAAACAAAATGCTGTAATTAACAAAATTTTAAGTTGTATTTATCATTTCTTAGGATCACAAATAGGCAATGCAGGCATCTCACCTGTCCAGGCATGATAATTGTCGTTACAGGTACTGAACTGAGAAGAATTCAGGTGAGGCATGTCTTTTTCAGCCTTGTATACACACAGACACAACCTCTATTGACTAAAACAGTGCCTTGAGCATTTACACATCCATTAGCAAAACACTCCAAGTTTTCCCCACAGAGCATTTTGTAGTCATTTAGTTAACTGGCTCAGAGCTAAGACTCACTTCATCAGTTCTGCAGATGGAAATCCACAACCTGTGTAAGCACGGACACCTGGGTGTGACTTCCACTCCGAAAAGCAGCGGCACCGAAGGCACCGAAGGCACCGAAGGCACCGAAGGCACCGAAGGCACCGAAGGCACCGAAGGCACCGAAGGCACTGAAAGCACTGAAAGCAGCCGCAGCTGCTGCAGCTCACAGTGTGAACAACGGGGGGAGCCCTAAGCCTGCAAATGAAAGCCGTCTCTCGGCTTTTAAGGATCAAGACAGCAACTTCATGGAAAACAGGTGCACGAAGTTAATTCAGAGGACACTTCTTAATAGATCATTGCCTTTCCTGATCAGTAAACACAGAGTTATGTTGTCGGGGTCTGGAGCTGGGGATTGATTCTTTTAAGTGGAGGAAAAGCTAAATTATGCACACAAGCACGACCCAGAGGTGTTTAATTTGCAGAGAATGAACTACACCTGTAAAGCACCTAGAAACCTGGGAAGTGCTTGAACAATGGGACATCAATTTATTCTTTCAGTAATTTATGTTCTTGTTTCTTACATGAAACTATGGCTCTCTGGACATCAGGAGGAATTTCTTCCCAGAAAAAAAAATCTGCAACTGACTGCCTGGAAGCTGTGATGTTAATTTAAGTGCTAGGACACTTTCAAAAGTACCTGTGAAGTAACTTTATTTAGGAAATAACTATAATCAGACTCTGCAACAATCCAAATGCCAATTCTGTGAAATGATAAGAGAATGACAAATTTTGAAGGGAAGTGGTTGAATGAAAACCTCAATAAGGTGATATAACAAGTTCCATACCTCAACTTTACATCAACTTCCTCTGCCTGGATGACTGCACCAGTCACAGGCTGCACAGTGACAGCATCACCTGGATTTACTTTCAGGTTCTTCTGTGTGGTTTCACCCAGCCCAATTCTCCCCCCTGGGAAGCCTGTGGTGGGCCAGGCAATACAGACCTAAGAAGAGTTTTCAAAGCAAACAGCTGTCAGTTGAGGTCTTGCCCCTCTCATTTCCAGTCAATATAAGCAATGATATAATATGAAGGATTAGGTTAAAACCTGGTCCCACTGAGCAAGACATAAGGGGCACTGAGCTTAGATTTGATCTAAGACACTTTCAAAATTGAAGGAGCTATATTTTGCTTACAAATGTGATAAAAAATTCCACCAGGATTCTCTACACATTCTGCAGATAACTCAAAAGCATACCTTGTGCTGATCAGAAAATGCTACCCCTCAGTGAAAAAAAGATGAGCAAATAGCTACTTTATTTGCACGTAAGAGATGTGTGTGCTTATGCGAAATATAATACATAACCCATCTATTCACACATGACTTATCAATTTATAGAAAAAAAAATATCAGCTGCACGGATTTTTTCCAACAGATGCAACTACAGTGTAGAAAAGGCGGAAGAGCACATTCACCATCTTCCTCAATGCACGATCCATGCTGGTTCCATTAAATATAACAAGAACAAGCTAATAGAACAGGAAATGCACTTATAGGGTCAAGAAAGGGTCTCACCTCCTGCCGCCCCTCAGCGGAGGTGAGCAGGGCCGGCCTCCCTATGCAGAGATCCGCCGATTTCATGCTGTTCAGCGACAGCTGTGCCAGAGCTCTGCGCAGCATCTTCGGGACCTTGTCATCTCCTCCAAAAAAGAAAAAAAACAAAGTTGTTTTTTTTTTTCTCCCCTTCCCCTCAGTACACCCGGCGTTTCCCGCGTTCCCCGTCAAGCACAACCTCGCTCGCCCTCAGGTGAGCGAGCGGAGCCCCGTGAGGCGCTGCCGGCGGGACTGGGAACACGGGCGGTCCCACGGCGCCGCTCGGCACTGCCCCATCCACCGCAATTCAGCTACCACCGACATTTCCCCTTCCACGGGGAAAAGAGCAGGTTTCCTGGCAGCCTAGACTGAAAGACCCCCAAACCCCGGTCCCGCCTTCCTGAGGAGCCAGGAGCGCGGCTGGGCAGGGACTCCGATTCAAACGAGGCGCCCTCAGAGCGCCGTGCTGAGGCAGCCGGGGCTGGAGCTGCCCGTCCCCGCCTCCCGCACCCCGTACCTGCCTCCACGGCGTCGGCGACACGCAGCGCCAGCGCCCCGCCCGCGGCGGCTCCGAGGGGCGCATCCCGAGGGGAGCCACCGCCCGCGGCCGGGCGCCCCTTGCTCTTCCTTCTGGAAGAGGAGGCGGACATGCTGCCCGCGGCCGGCGCAGAGCGGTTCCGGAGCAGAGGCCGGCGCCGCCCCCGGGGCGGCCGCTCCCCGCCCCGCTCAGCGCCATGGCGGGCCCGTGGCGGGCGTTGCGGAGGGCGCGGGGCTGGGTGGCCCTGGCGAGGCTGCGGGCGAGGCCGGACAAGTTCGGGGGGGTGAGCGTGGATCTGGGCGAGCTGCGCGGCTCCCCGCGGCTGGAGCGGGCCGCCTTCGGGCGGTGGCTGCGGGGCAAGTGCCGGGCGGGGGTCCCGAGTCCCGGGGCGGGCGGGGGCCGGTGTGTGAGGGGCGGCGGAAGGCCCGCTAGGGGGCGCCCTCAGCCGCCGCCCTCCCCTCACGGACCCTGAGCCGCGGCCGGGAGGTGAAGGGCGCTGGCAGGAGGGAGCAGGGGGTCGTTCACAGAACCGTAGATTAATTAGGTTTGGAAAGGACCTCTGGAGATCATCCAGTCTGACCGCCCGGAGCAGGTGGCACAGGAGTGACAAATCACAGCAGGTGGGTTTGGAATGTCTCCAGAGAAGGAGACTCCGCGCACCCACTGGGCAGCCTGTTCCAGTGCTCTGCCAGTCTCAGTGTGAAGTCGTTCCTCGTGTTGAGGTGAAACTAAAGGTGTTTTCAGTTTATGGCTATTGCTCCTTGTCCCATTACTGAGCGCCACTGAAAAGAGTCTGGTATCATTCTCTTGGCACCCACCTTTGACATACTTGGATGGATGGATGTGGTCCCATCTGAGACTCATCTTCTCCAGGTAAACAGGTCCAGCTCCTGCAATCTCTCCTCATAGAGAGATGGTCCAGACCTCTCATCCTTTTTGTGGCCTCCACTGGACCACTCCACTAGTCCCTTATCTTCCTTGTACTGAGGAGCCCAGAATGGGACACAGCACTCCAGAAGAGTAGTTTTCCCTGTTTCTCATGGCAGACCCAAATGTAAAAGCCATCATTTTGCACGTGAACAGCAAGTTGTTGCACATGAAATGTTGAGCTGGCAGCCTCTGAGACTGCTGGTGAGTTTCTCACACCACCAATAGTTTTACCCTGTGGTAAATAATGTGGAAAATACAGATTTTTGTACATTACTGACAGCTGTAGCGTGTGGTAAAGTTCAAAACAGTGCACATCAAGGGCAAAGGGATCCCTGACCTTCCTCACTTCCCTCTCTTGCAGAGTCAGTGTCTCAGTGGCGGGATGAAGGCCGTGTTGCTGTCTGGCTCCATGTCCCCATCCTCCAGAGCAGCCTTGTGGCAGTGGCTGCTTCCCAAGGCTTTGCTTTCCATCACGCTGAGCAGGGCTCATCCACCCTGACACTGTGGCTGGGAGAGGGGCCCAGCAGGCTGCCAGGCTTCGCCACACACCAGCTGGGGGTTGCAGGTGAGTTACTGGAGCGGTTGCACCCTCAGAAAGTCTTGAAGGAGCCCTTGGGAGCCCGTTCAGTAGGAATTGTTCCTCTGTACAACCAGCACGTGGAAACCAGCTGGCTCCTGCATTTTGGAATGAAAAACTAACCACCAGAGTAGAGAAGAAAGCACTTCTCTGCTCCGTGTGCTTAGTATGTGTATTTATCTAAGCTATGTTCAAGTTAATGTCTGTAAATGGGGAAAACTTGACCCAACAGAGATTGTTGAGAAGCTAAAGCATCTATTAGCCTAAATTGCAATGGTCTGAAAGCTGATCTAAGCTGCCTAAGTGCCTAGGAGTCTTAAATCCAAACATATCTTTTACAAAAAAAACCCAACAAATGCCATACTCTTAGCCATCTAGACCTCCCACAACCACAGCTAGAAAGCTGTTCCATAACTGAGAAAATTTCCAAGGACTTAGACAAGACAGTTTCCCTTTTTTCTTTTTTTATTTTTTCATATAGCACAGCACAAGGGACTGATAATAAGCCAGTATTAATAATAAGTGAAATTAGCTTCACCAAATTCCAGTGGTTGTGTTCTCTCAGCAGAGTTCCACAGCTAAGCCATTACTTATCCCATTGCTCAGTTATCTGTAATTGGAGATTTGGACCCCTCATGTGCTGGTTAAGGGTTACATTAACACACAGAAATTACTGGGGAGAGCAAATCTCTCCAGCTGCAACCCTGACTTCTTTGTCCTTGGCTTGCAGAGACTCTGGGGAGTGTTACTTCTTGACTAAAAATCTAGTTAGGAGGAACTCACGAAAGATGGTTTGCTCTGTGTAGCAGCAGGTCAGGTGAAGTTTGGGGAAAAAGATATCACTACTGGGAGTCTTCCGTTTCCAGGCCAGCAGAGGGCAGGGTGGATGCTGAAGGCGGCCTTGGAGGTTGTCAATGGGCGTGTTGGAGCATGTTTTCCTGAGGTATGGAAACCTCACCATTAAAATATGTGGCATTAAAGTGGAGCAGGACAGAGCATTCTCCTCGCAAAAGCACGGGGTTACTCCTTCCTGTGAGGAAATCTAAGTGAGAGAGAGGTTTTTCTGAAGTAGACCTTGCACAGCTGAAAGTGCTCCTTGAAAGGAAATCACGCAAGAGATTGTTGTTGTGACCCTGGTGGGCATCAGAAAGAACTATAAGAAAAATCATAACTCTGAAAAACTCGCAAATATTTAAAAATGTATTTTCAGAGCATAATTTTCAACTGTGCAAGTACTTTGTACTGCTTTGCACTCTGTAAGTAGGAATAATCTTTAAAGAAAACTTTGGAAAGTGCAGGTATATGGATTTCATAATTTATTGTATGGATTTTAAAATGGCACAACATATAATGTATGTGTTCTTTGCTACCATTTTTCAAACCTGTGTGCTTTTAGTCTTTATTGGGATTTTCTTTAAAGGACATAAATACTGCAGGAAAGCATTCTAGGCAGCTGAAAGTGTGAAAAGTGTAAAATAATGATTGCTATGTGGGGTTTTTTTGTCCTTTGTTCTACTCACTGTCAGTGGATCTGGAACACATCCCAAAAATACGTGGATACCACCTGGTAGGTTTACTCCATTATCTTTCTACTTTAGGAGGGAGACCTGGGGTAGTGGAAAGGCTCCACTATATTTTTAATTCATTTTATTGAAATATTCAAGTCTTTAAATATGGGTATTGGGGAGGGGGTCAAACACAAGGCTTTCTTTATTCCCTAACCAAAAAGTATTTTAGGATATGTTGCAGTAAATAAAATAAATTTTATGGTGAGAGTCCCCATCTCAAAGCCGTGGCCAGTCAGTGAAATGTGGGAGTCAGTCCCGTGAGCATCCTGAAAATGGAAAGCAGAGATGTGGAGAGCGGTTGGCTGGCCAGCAGGAAGCCAGCACAGGAACAGGGAGCAGGTAGCAAGTCTCATTGCCAAGTAGACCAGCAGCTGGTTTTCCTCCTGTCTGGAGTTTTCCCACGCAGCAAACGCAGCACAGCCAGGGCTTGTGCCTCAGGACCAAGTGCAGCCAAGTGATGACAAAGGTGTGAATAAGCGGGGTCAGGTCGTGTTTTACCAGACTGGATAGAGAGTGGCCAAGCAGAGAGTAGCAAATGTTACTCATTGGGCTTGGCCATTATTGTTTAGAAATAGTGGAATATGTGATGTGTCTCCCAGCTAAGTTACTACATCCGTTTGTAGGCGGCAGGATTTTCCACATGTGCGAAGGTACAGAGGAGTCTCTGGTGTATGAAGTGATTAACGTGTTTTTAAAAAGCATTTCCAAAATTCTCCACCTCCGAGGAGGATGTGGCCTGCCATCCAGCAAATGACGTGTTTGTAAACATGCCACGCAACAATGGCATGAGAGGACAAGCTGAGGAAGGAAAGTAAAAGGAGAGGAAGAAAAGTGAAAGGCATTTCCTTCCCCCTGAAATGCTCTACAAGCCTTACAACACAGATGTTATTTGCATTGCTACCACCTGAATCCACCTGTTGAAACAAAGTCCTTGGAGTTGAAGGACTCCAGGAAGGAGAGCCTACACACACATAGGATTGTCAGCCTTTGCCAGTCCTGGTACTTAGGGAAGTCTGAAACCAGCAGCTGCATTACTGTGACTTAAAAGTAGTTCCCAAGGTGTTTCACAAATACCTGCTCCTTTCTGCTGATGCTTACACCGCAGGGAGTGGTTTCTGCACTCATTCTCTGCTTAACAAGTGCTTCTCAACACTGAAATCTTTGCATGCATTTTTACATCAGTCATAAATAAAACAGGTGGGGTAAAGATACTTTTCTCCTATGTTACTCATAATCTGGAGTTATCGGAGGGATTCTTTTTTAAATGCTTTATAAAATGCTTTTCTTGCCTATTTCCCAAAAGAGAACATTAAAAAACCAAGTGGTATTGTAATAGTGATTACCTGGTTGGGTTTCAAGTATAAACCTTTCCAGAAAGTCATCCTGGCATTGGATGATTTAAACCTCCAGGTGCCACATTTGTAGCAGGAGGGAGAGTTTTAAAAACCACAATTCAGGGCAGTCAAGCTCTAATCTCACTGATGCCGACCAGGTGTGGCCCAGTGAGGGAACATGACACCAGGCAGCAAATCCTGTTAGTGTGTTTTCTTCCATCTTGCTCTGCATTTAGGTGTCCCCTAGCAGATATTCTGATTACCTCACTGGGAATTTCACTGCCAAAAATTACATTCACGGGCTTCAATTTCAGGGGGACAGGAGAGCACACACACTTTCCGTTTGATTCAAACAGCAGTTTCCTGCCTTCATCAGTCCTCCCTGGCCTCAGCAAACGCTTTGGCTGAGAAATGGCTTTTCTAGAAAACAAATCCTCTAATCACAAAGTTCCTTCTGCTTTCCTTTTGTTGCCTCCTTTAATCATTACAGTAGTTGGACTTGGACACTACTAAATATTTACAGGAGGAATGAAATCATAAAGTCACAAGCCACAGGGAGGCAGATACGTGACTACCCTCTTAGAGCACATCCTTTGACATATCTTGAAGGAAGACTGGTACTTCATCTTTGAAATATCCTCCTACACACAACTCTGCCATGTATTATTAAAAAACAGGATGTTTTTAGCTGGACACTCATTCCTTAATAATTCCTTCCTTTGGGCATACTTCCCCATAGCATTTTAAATGCACATGTCATCACAGATGTGCATGTATCCTCTTCCCTCCTGCTGTAAAATGACATAAGCATTTTGTTACAGTTAACCTCTAATTTGAAAGCCATGCATGAGTGATGTGGAAAAGATCCTGGTAAGTTGCACCACAGCACTCATCCTGCTCACCACAGCACTCTTTAAAATCTGAGAAAAAATACCTGCTTTAAAGGAAGGACATTTTTAAAGTATGACCAGTGATTATGACATAATTAAACATGAAAGCACTTGGGTTCCAGAAAGTAGGAAAACTTGTAATCTGTGGGAGAAAGTCATGGGCTGAGCTTGAGGGCATAAGGAAAAGCTGCACTTCTCAGGTTTTTTCATCAAGGTTTTTTGTCACTTCTCCACTTGGAAGCAACCCTTTTTGATTGAGAAGTTGACCCAGATTATGGTGCAGTTCCTGTCATGAATTGTTAGCTGGGTAGTGCCAGTTCAGAGACAGTCACACAGCTGAACATTATCTGTGCAGTCAGCCCAGATTACTAAACCTGGTGTGTTATTAACCCAAAACCACTCAAACCTTCACTGCAGCAGGTGGGGGCTTTGTCATGAATTTCACAAAAACTTGAAAAAGAAATGTGAAATTTGAAAAAGAGAAAAATTTGTCCCTGTTAAGGGTGACTTCTGAGACAGTCACTGGAAAATTCCCTGTTATTTGAGGAAGATTACAGGCACGTCTCTGCTGAAGCAAGTGGCTTCGGATTGTTTGGGTAACCTCTTGATCTTGCATTCTTTAGTTCTGATACTAACACAAGCAAGTTTTTCTTTTCATTTCTTGTCTAATCTGGAACTTAAATGTTGCAATTATTTATCTTGGTACTGCCAACTTTGAATTTTTATACGGGATACTTAACCTTTTTCTGATACTTTGTTGTGCATCTGTTTTCCACTGAAAAACCACTTTGTGATTCATCCATACAAACCTTGCTAACTGTACATTAGGGGTTTGTTATGCTTTATTGAACATTGTCCAACACCCACCTCTTTTTCAATGTTCTTTCTATACCAGGTGCTGTTTTAGATGAAAGCACTGGAAAGGTGTTGGTTGTACAAGACAGAAATAAGGTATGTTTGTTGCAGGATTATAAAACAGAGAAGTTCATTTAGATGTCTATTTTGTAGTATAAAACAAAAATGTATTTTTATTCCAGTCCAAAATTGTTCCAACAGTGAAAGTTACTTCCTTTTACAAGTGTCTTAAACACATATATCAACAAATCACTGAATTCCATATTAAGAGGAAAAAAAAACAACTCTGAAAATCAACAGCTTTGTTATAACTGCAGATTGATTCAGCAGAACTAAAGTATTCCTCCTGCTTGGAGCTTTCTGTTTTCTCCTGTAACTGACCCAGGAGTCCCTCATCTCATGTTTGGACCCATGCAGACCTCTGAAAAATCCCCATGGCTTGAAACAGATTTTGAGAGGATACCGATTTGGTTTGGTTTCCTGAATTCCAGGCATACCTGTGGCTTTAAACAGGGAGTAGCATGGTTAGCCATGACCTGGAGACCACCTTGGTCCAGCAGGTGTAAAGATCTTGAATTCCTCGCTCACGGAAGCGCCCACCCTCACTACAGTGGATGCCAGACCAGAGCAGGGCTGTGGTGAGGGTGGCTCCTGTGATGTGGCCTGAGGTCACTCCATCCATCACTGAAGTATCTTCCAGCCCCTAGCAGGCTAACCCAGGTTTGAACTCAGCTGCTGCAGAAAGCTCTCCAGCTCACTGGCAGCTGCCTGTGCTACTCCATTCAAGGGACATTTAGCCTCCATGATGCTTCCATTTGCAAGTTAAAGTGTTTTGTGTTAAAACCGCACAAATTAACTCTCTAAGAGAGTGAGATTAATGCAGTTTTAACATGAAACAATCAAAATTTACCTAGGTAGACTGAAACACACTTGGATGAATAATTTTCATTTTATACAGTTGAAACTGTGTCAGAATCTCACTGGCTACATTCTCCTGTCTTTCCTGAAATAGCTACTAAGACTTTTCTCCTCAGGACCCAAAACATCACTTCATTAGGACCCACAACACAATTAATGAGCTTCAGTGAAAGAGTGCTTTCATAGGCAATCATACCACACTGAGTTTGTAACACAAAAGACATTCTTCCTCTGAACTTATTTCCTGTAATTGAAAATGTTTATTTTTAATTTCTGTGTTTTATATTCTTACTTAAAATAAAGTAAAATATTGAAGACTTTCAGGCTTTCATTCAGCAATTACCAATTAAAGCATAAACCTACATCTCATGCTGTAGACTCCAAAAGTGGTTCCAGCTCCAGAGAGTCTCCAGGGACAGAAAAGCACATTGTAAACATTAGAAACATGACGTTTATTTACCCTTCTATACACAAAAATATAAATGTGCATGCTTACCTTTTAGTAAATATTTTAAGCAGCTATCAGGGTAAAAAAAAATGAATAAATTAACAGCTGTTGGAATTTTAAGAGCTGTTTGGGTTTAATTGTGACGGGACAATTCCACAGCACACAAAGATTTCCAGGAACTAAAAGTAAATCTGAAAGCCAATAGACAAATATATGTATTTTCCATCTGCACTATTTTTAATCTATTACTTTAAATTCCTATCCAAGCCCTTTAAGAATGCCCAGGAAAAAAAAATAATTTCCAATGTAGTCATTAGGGTTTCAAATCACTGGAAAGCACACAGCTTCCCTGCTACGCTGCAGAGACAAAAAAAGCTTTTTTTGGGCCAGCATGCCTTTTTACTGCAGTTATTTCTAGGAGAAGGGTAACTTCTTCCTACATAAACTTTTAACAAGGAAAGAAATAGAAAGTACATAGAAGTAAAGGTAAAACCTACAAATCTTTGTGCCCTTGCAAGAGGTGCAGGGACTGGGACTCCTTTAGCAGTGTGAGTAACAACACCAAGCCTGCACTTCATGTTTTAATACTGAATTTTATTGCAATTCAATAAATGTTTCTATACATAAACCACACACAAGCCCTCATTTCTTGTATTCCATGAAAATGACAAGTTACATTAAATGATCATTACAGACACATCTTAAAGCCAGTGCAGTATAGAACAGTACAATCATAATACCTGTTTGTAAGATTAAATATATATACATTTTTTAAAAGCCAAAACAATGGAAGTGGAATACATTAGTGATTAAATATAAGATTATATAGTCTATAGCAGCTTTTTTTTTAATATTCAACTACTCTATCTAGCAGCAACATTGTCTAATGACTGTTGGACACTTTGCATTTTCAGTCAGTAGGTGTTTTGTTCCAATAGTTCATACAGACTGTAGCCATCTCTGATCATCACATCAGCAGGAACAAACAAGTTCCTACTTACTGATATTTGTAAAATAACACTACTGCAACTTCAACAAAAAAGTTACGTGTCAATTGTCTCTTTTGTATTAAAGAGTGCAGCACAGGCTGACTGTTTCATTAATGGATTTTTTTCCCCCAATACAGACTATAAACGCATGGAAATTTCCAGGAGGTCTGTCTGATCCAGGAGAAGACATTGGTAAGTTCTATGAGAACAGGTCAGCATCAAGTGAACTATAAACACATGAACACTGCTGAAATACAGCCTGACCTTTGTCGCTCCTGTGATGGATTGTTTCCTTCAATTAATGGTGAATAGATGGAGTGACACAATCCTGGGACCCTAATGGTAACAGAGTAGCATGTTCAGGACAAAGAAGTTTTGTGTTTGTAACATTTACTCTTTTCCACACTTTTCTTTTGAGTGCTTGAGGCCAGCTAAGTTTTTGTAGGCTGGTCAGATATGCTGCAATATGAGCCAGAAGTGCAGAGGATTAAGGTAATCCATACATAGCCCAAATAAAACTGAAACAGGGAGCTCTCGGCTCACACTGGAGTCCAGGGCAATGACCTCAGGGACGGACTGAGCAAAAATTTCCAACTCTCCCTTTTTATGTGCAAAACAGAAATAAATGCACTTGCTTCCTTCCACCCCCTGCACTTGATTAGCTGGGACCAAGAGCTCCTTGGCACAGAGCCAGGGTGAAGTGCAGGGCCTCAGTCCTGAGGGCACATATTCCCAACAGAGACGTGAGGCATTCCTGTGGTAGGAAACAGTGCTGGTTTGAGGACTCATTTCTCTCCAACACAGCACAACTGGTGAACACTGCTTGCAGTTTATCTTCACAGGTGAATGAATGAACACAAGGGTGTTTATGGAGAGAGAGAAAATCTCTTTTTTCTCCTTGTATCTCAGCCCTTAAAATCATGATCTGTAGGCTGGTTACTTCTTAAGCCCAGGTTTCCTGACTGTTCCATACCTTAGAAATACCTACTTTAGCAGTCTCCCTACAACAGTGTGTGGTAGGGCTGTAATCCAGTTATTACTTCAATTCATGAAGAAAGTTTCTGCTTTTCAGCATATGGCGGAGTTTACTTTTTATAACTCATGAGTCATTTTTTTAAGTCTTTCTGTCAAACCTGGTAATTGAAATCAAAAATATTTGCTGAATAATGCAATGGAACGTGGTGAAATGGATCCATGTCTTCAAAAGAATCCCAAATGCCATGGCTGTTGTCTAGCCAGGCTCCTCCTCACTTCTAGTGCCAGCAGCAGCAGGACTTTTGTACTTGAGGGAACCACAAATGACCAGCACTGGTGTTCCAGTGGGATTCCCCAGAGTGATACTGCTGAGCACAACAGCAGCCATCCCTCACTTAACAGGCGAGAGTATGGCTGGAGCCTGGACTCAAAACCACGCAGGAGAAGAATCTCTTACAGCTTCCCTCCTGCCACTTCTAAACTTCAGAATAATAAAAGTTACTGTTCTCTGCATCACAGCTTATATTATAAGAAGATATAAATTAGTGAAGCATAAAATATAACAGAGCCTAATTTTCCTTTCTCATTCTTACATCAAACCTTAAAAACACAAGTCAGTCAAGGGACTAAATTTCAAATTACAATTAAAAATTGCTACTACAATGCTTAAAATCCTTTGGTTACATGAAGTGACAACATGCATGGGTGCCTACTTAAATGAGTGCCAACTGACTCCTGCAAGTGACACCAAGAGTTTCATGATTCAGATTAAGTGCACACATTTTTTATCTGAGTATTTCTGAAACTCCAGCCCTAGTGTTTCTTCTAGTTTAACTGTCATTAGATATTTATATATACACACACACATTTAAATAAAAGGGAAACAAAACAGCACTTCATCTGAAAGCAAAGCTCAAAGCTTAAATGAAATCCCTCATTACTGCAATTTTCTTAACTACAGCCTGCCTCAGCATGCCTCATGATCTCAGTTCACTTCCATGTAACACAGCCCCTTCATTGCCCACTAACAAAAACACCTGCAGGGAGTTAAAATTTCCAATATCTAAAATCACCCCTGAAATGTCTGTTTTGTTCCCCTCTGACTTGGCAAGATGCAAGCTTCCATAGGATGGTGAATCTCTACAAGTCTTTTAAAATGCATTTGCTTTTGGAAGCAAGTCAGCACACATTCCTTACTGAAGATAAACTAACAGGAGCAGATAGCATTGCACAAGAGTTCTGTACATTGACCACTCAGAACAGACACGACCAGGAGGTTACATTAATTTGGGAAAAGACAGTATTTAACCCACCAGTAGTTACCCCAGGCAAGTTGGATTTGACTTGACCACGATGAAATTGCAGACTTTGGGGAAATGAGTGGAATATTAAAAAACTTCTTTGGGGCTCTTGAATTTATTACTGAAGAGAAAAATCTCTCTGGAGGAGTTGTGGATGGATGGGTGGTTCTCTGGCTGTAACTGCAGCACACAGACCCTGCAGACCCTTCAACTCCCTGCTGCGTTTGCGGTGAGGAATGTTAGCACTGACCTCACTCTGGCTGGGGCACAGAATGCACACGTGCAGCACAGATGCAGCAGAGGTGCAACATGCTCGCAGCATGTTTCCTGCAAGAACAGGCTCTGTGTTGCACTGGTGCTGTGCAATATTTGAAACGTTACCAGACTCTAAAGGTACATCTTGAAAAGGACCTGGTGCCAACTTTCACTTTCTAAAAAGAGTTTTACCCATTTTGCTACCCCTTGGGGTGAGGTGCAGAGAAACTGATCTGATCAAGAGAACTGACATCAGTACAGGTGCAGGTGCACAGAGTCTGAACCTGAGACTGGGCAGGGACAATGAGAGGGATGGAGATCCAAAGGACTGCAAAGACGGTGCAGTGCTTGAATTGACAGATCAGTGGAGCCAGCAGCCATCACTGTCCATTACAAACCACACCCTGTACAGCATTACCAAAGTAATTCTGTAGGATATACACAGGAACAACACACAGTAATTACTTTTGTTTGGGGGCCAAAAAAATTAGCTTACCCTTGTGTTGGAAAAACAGACTTACGTTCTGAAAACCTTATGAAGCAGAACAGAGAACATGCTGAGTAAGAGGCTTTCCACCTTTCCAGAAGGTTTAAGGAGTGCTAAATTCCTCTCAGATGTATTGTGAGGATTGCTCTTTCCACCCAGGAGACACAGCAGTTCGAGAGGTTTTTGAAGAGACTGGCATCAAGTCAGAGTTCAAGTCCATCCTAAGCATCAGGCAGCAACACGAACACCCCGGAGCCTTCGGGAAGTCAGACATGTACATCATCTGCCGCATGGAGCCCTCCTCCTTCCACATCAGCTTCTGCCAGCACGAGTGCCTCCGGTGCGAGTGGATGGACCTGGAGGAGCTGGCCAGGACGGAAAACGCCACACCCATCACCAGCAACGTGGCCAAGCTATTACTGTTCGGGTACCGGGAAGGGTTTGATAGGATTGACATAACCATGAGGGAGTTCCCAGCTGTCTACACAGGCCTGTTCTATAAACTCTACCACAGGGAGCTGCCCGAGTCCTACAGAAACATGACGTGATAGCAATACATTTCACATTTCCTTATAGTAATAATTTAGAGTTATTATTGCAGTGTTGCAGATTACAGTTATCTGTGGACTTCTTTCTAGGTAATTATTAGATTGTAATTGTTCTCTAATAAGCTAAGATATAAATTATTTTTAAAGGTAATTATTGCTATGAGTGTGCATCAGGTTTGTTCTCCTCTACTCTGTAAAGCAAGCACAAGGTAAATAAAATACATAAGTACCTAGAAGAAAACAGAAGTGTTACTGATCCTGAAAATATATTCTGCAAGTCATTTTATCTCACACACACTGGCATGATAGGTTTAAAGAGCAATGTAAAGACAGTATGAAACATTCATGATTTAATCTGGTATCTGCAAAAGTAGTTATAATATCAGCAAATAATTGCTTATATTTGGCTACTTCAGAGAGGAGTAGGAAAGGCGACATCTTTAGTGCTGGTGTGGCATTGGTGCTCAGAATCTGCCATGGAAGTCAGCTTTTAGCAGACATGGGAAGGAAAAGGATAGCTTTCTGTCCAGGTCCAGTTTTTGGTCCAGGTTTGTACTGTCCAGTTCTTTTCAGTGCCACGTACCAATCCGAGTATTTCCGTGACCGGTAAGTGTTGTAGTTATTGGATTCCAAACGCTCAAAAAAGAAACATTCTTCTGTTGCGTATTTCTAAAAGGGAAAAGAGAAAGCATTACCGCTGTAGCACCACAAATCCATTGTTCACATTCAGGAGACTAACTTAGCAAGAATGTGAACAGTACCTTGGCTTTAAAGAAATAGAGATTGACTGTTTCACGACTGAAGAAATTGTGAATTTATTGATTTATTGTGAAAATGTTGTTAAAAGCACCTACAAGAGGTTTTTATCTGTGGTTCATTTATTGTCTCTAACACAGACCAAGCAGCTTTTAATTTGCTTTTACTGTGTAATTCCTTGTTCTGATCAGAAAATGTATAAAGAAGCCTTTAAGAACCAAAACTTTTAAACTGAGTGTAGACAATTCAGTACAATGGCCCAAGCTGGAAATTCAGGCACATCAATAAAGGCTGAAAAAAGAAAAGTCCTTATTTCTCCCCAAAGTATACGTGACACCAGTGCTTTCCTACAGTATGTTGTCAATGTAAACATTTTGACATAAACCCCAGCATTTAGGTGACAAATGACAACTCAGGCTTCATGAACTGTGTATTCCTTAACATCTTAACATTTCAGGAGCTGTACTGCTGTCCAACAAGAGCAGGATGCCAGCCACTGACTGCACTGTCAATCTCAGCACCTGGAAAAACCCTGGATATCTGAGCTTTTTCCTTTCAAACACACTTCAGTCCAGGCTGCATCCAGAGGGTCGTTCTGGCAGTATAATCTTTCACAGCACCTCATGAAACACCTGAACTCTGCTCAAACTAAATGCAGGTTATTCTCACAAACATTCTTTGAGCACAGTTTGAATCCATAACATCAAAAGACAAGAATTTCCCTTCGAGTCAAGTCCTTGAAGTCTGGCAAAATCTCGCTGATCACAGTGAAACCACACAAGCACGACAGAATGAACAGGTCATAATACCCTTAAATAACAAATTATTTACCAGAAAATACAAGTTAGTCAAAATTCATCCTTTCATGAGAAGTTTGGGAAATTTCTTCGTTAAATGAAATAATCACATTTCATTCCATAAAATGAAAGTATTTCATTCTTATAATTAAACCGGAAAGTCAAAATAAACCATTATCAGATGGGAAATGTTTCTGGTTTTCCATCGAAAAATCTGATGGAACAGATGCATTTCTGCACAGGTATTTTCAGTTAAAAGTGCATTTTCCAAGGGGAAATTTTCACTATCTGCATTCACAACCACGCATTTCCTCCAGTGCTAGGGATCACGTCTCCCCCACGACTGAGCCTGATAGTAAAGAGCATGAAAATGATCAATGAAAAGCTGCATCATCCAGATTTCCAGACAAAAACACAACCCACAGCACCCCCACGCAGAGCACCAGGGTGAGCAGTGGTCCACGGGCTGTAAATCATCCTGCAAAGCCCAGCTCAGAACAAACCCTGCAGCATGTCTCAACAAGTAATTACAAAAACATCCAACAAGACGAAAAACAGTCCTGAAGAAAAATTTACAAACGTATTTCCGAAAATGTTAATTTATTTGTAAAACAAGGACACTGCAAATTGATCCTGGACGCTGAAAAGTAATTAAAGAACCCCAGACATTAAAAAGGACAAGTACTTGAGTGACTGATGGATTAGAGGACTAAATTATGTGTTTAAGAATTAAAGTTCCATAAAGTTTTAAAAGAAATTTCAGCAGTGTTTCATCATGTGTAATTTACCACAGACATTTCCCCTGTATGCTCTTTGCGAGCTCTGGTGAAACACAGCCCTGCTCTAACTGAACAAGGGACGCTGGCAATTAGAAACAGTTTCTTGAATGTATTTAGAGGCAGAAAATGCTAAAGGCACAGCCAGCCACAGACTGCTGGAAGTCACAGCGCAGAAATCTACATGGAAAAATATTGCCAGTGCTACAGAAAACAGCCATGAAATTGCAGCAGCATTTGTTAGGCTGGTTGGAGGAAAAAAGTTTAAAAAGACTAGAGAGTTTACAGCTATTAATAACAACAATGTTGTATGCAGCAAACACGATTAAAGGAATACCCATTTCCAGAAACAACACCAAAGGAAAAAAAAGAGTTTTACAAGCTCAAGTTAGAAGCAAAAAGTGACCCAATTTTACATATTCTGAGAGAGCAATTCCAGGTGACTGGACGATACTTTCTGAGCATTTCGCTTTATAGGAACTCAGCAACTGGAATTGCTGCAGGGGAAGCACGTTCTACAACCAAACCCACCATGCAGCAGCAGGTCAGAAGTCCCAAATATAAACACAGCCCTGTGTTTCTGTTTATCATTTTACAAATAGTGCTCAACACCCTATTTTGACCATTCCCCATCGCTCAGGGTACGAAGTGCGATTAGAATGGGAAGCCGAATGCCACCGCACCAGCACCACAGGAAATTCCCAATTATCCTTAACTCAAGAATAGCACAGTGGACAACTCCTCACATTTTCTTCAACTGAGCTGTCACACAGTATCCGAGTAACTTGAAGCAGGTTCTTGAACTGCATTCCCGAGCCCACACGAAACTCCCTGGAGCCAGAACTGAGGATCGCCCTGGGGGGCCCTGCTCCAGTGAAACTACTTTCAGTCTCGTTTCATGGAGGCAGAGGAGTGGAATCAGAAATTATTTCTGCAGCCCCTGTAAGGGCTCTTTCATTAGCTGCAGTTCAGCCAGGGTGAGGAATGCACATTCTTAGCCCAAGCCATGGAGGGGACTTGCACAGAGGCTGAATGGGGCTGTGTAAATACACAAAGCACCAGGGACTCTTGCAAACCAAAATTCTGGTAGGGTGGATGCCCTGCAGAGGTGCTTCAGCAGGCACTGAAGGATATAAATGCAGATGAGGGAATTATAGTGCCTAGGTCTCATAAGAAAAATGAATGTAACTGCAGTTCTTAAAGCAAAATTTATCATCTGGCTCTGAGAGATATTAACTCTCAGAGTCGGCTGTGTGCACTGGCTTTAAAACAGGGTTAAAAATTCAGCTGGTACCAAAACCACACAAGAGTTTAAACTAAAACTAGTCTTACTAGAGAGCAGCTTAATTTACCCAAATTTATATAACTTTTAAAATTTTATCATCATATTTTCAAAAATATTTTTCTTGCTAGTTTTCTAGTTAGGAAGTAGAAGTGCCCAAAAAAAAAAAAAACAAAACAAAACCTTGATTCTCTACAAAGAGAAAAATGAGAAAATAATTTACACAGATTAGTACCATGAAGGTAATTTTTTTTAAGAAATTTGCTTTACTTTCCACTTCAAAGAGGTCTTTTAAAATTGCTTTATGTGAAAGTGAGTGAAAGAGAAAAAATTACTCCTGAGGGTAAAAAGGCAGAAACTTTATTCTTCATTTGTTTTTATAACTTCCTGATCACTGTGATTTTTTCTCTCTCAGACAAGCCATTCCTGTTAAATTTTGCAGCTCCTAGCTAGGGCAGAAATACCCAAATCCTCCTAATTCCTATTTCAAGTACTTGACAGAAGCTGTGCAGAGCTCATTTCTCCACCTGATAAATCCCACCCCGAGCAGCTGAGCAAGTAGTGCAGGAAGAAAGGCTACACCACACAGAGCAAGGGCAGGACACAACACAGAGACATCAGGGAAGTGCTGCTTACCAAGGCCAGCAATCTGCCATCCTCCTTCATGGCCAGGAAGCGATTGGCACTGACACCTTTGATGGACACCACGCCTCGCTCCTCCGCCTGAAGCTGCAGCTTGACTGCGAACAAAAAAAAAAAAACAACAGAAGGTTTCACAGCCACTGTGGGATCGCAGCACTTGACTGCTTCAAACCCTCCACCACAGAAAGCTTCAGCTTGCAATGAAGATGGTAAATTTTCAACCTTTGGCTTTCTGATCCCATTTTTACAAAGAAAGCAGCTACTCTCAAACTGGAAATGGCGAGATTGAGTAAGTCTATCTTCATTTTGCATAAAGGCAGCTTAAAACCCATGAAATTCCTTGAAAGGCCACTTAGAGCACAGTCAGCTGCTCCCAGAACATGGAAATTTTTCACGGCAATTTTTCCAGAGGTGTCTCTCCATGTTTGCAGAACAGCCTCGGACACTGAATGCACACAGCTCTGTACAGGCAGACGGTCAGCGAGTCAGAGTATCCAGATCCAGATCACTCCTAAGGGCCCTGGCAGGTCCCAACAGAAAAATATCCATTCGTTTACCTCATCCATCCAACAAGTGGGTGGAACAAACAAACAGAACTGCAGCAGTAGGTGAAGGCAGCAAAGGCACAAGAGACAGTGTTACACAAAGCAGGAACATGTTTTGCATCAATTAAAAGAAATTAAAGACTTTATAGAAATGAAAACCTGTAAGGTCCTATCAAACAGCTTTCAGCTGCTACCTGTGAATTATTAACAAAAAGCCTTAACTGATTT